TCATTTATTTTATATAATCTCCTATGATGGATCGACGTTTACATTATTGCCAATTAATTAGGATAATATTGGGAAAAGTTGCAGGCTGAAAACATGCTGACTGGGAATAGATTTACTTGGGCTAAAGTAACTTTTCACTTACTAATTCAAACTGAATCTTTGAAGTTCAAACCGATCTTAGTAGTAGAAACGTTATCTAAGCCTAAAAGAAAGAAAAATTAAGGAACAAAAAGGAAGAAATGTAGAAGGGGGGGGGAGAAAGAAGTAGTGAAGGTAAGGTTAAAAGGTAGAAGAAGGAAACGGGGGAAAGAAGAAAAGGAAAAGGTGGAACAAGAGAAAGGGTAAGGTTAAGGTATAAGAAGGAAAAGGTGGAACAAAAAAAGTTTTGAAATATAATTGCTTTATGATAACAATGATTAAATTTAAGGATATCTCGACCTTCTGCTACGACTTCAACTCCGACGAATGTACAGCATGCTTGGAGCATGCACTGTACGGTTTATGTACAATGGTTGTACTGGATCCTTTACCTCAACACCAGGTATATTTATGTACACTATACACTGTGCAGTGTACAGGGTGTCAAAGAAAAATTACCAGTAAGAGAAAAAGTTTGACGAACTTAAAAAATTAAATAAAAAATCTTTGAAACAAAATTTTGAATTGCTAAATATACTATAAACCTTTTATTATTATTTATATTTTAAAGTTTTTAGTTAAATTTAAAAGTTTCCTAAAGAAAGACGATATTTGATCATAATTGTTTGGTTTTAAGTTTATTGGAACTCTCTGAATCTTGCAAATGAAATCTTGTTTGCATTTTGTTTTAAGAGTTCATTAAGATAGTTTTGTTCTTTTTCATTAGAATAGACGTTTACTAAGTTTCGACCATCTAAATAAATATTTTGATAGTCTGTCTGTCAGGATTTTTGTATCAAATAAACGTCATAACGGCTGAACCGATCAGGTCCAAATTTTGTGTGGTACCTCAAATGACCCTTGGGAAGGTTTATGAAAAAATCTAAATTTAAACAAATAACAGAATTCTATTTTCATTAAATTTTAAAAATCGACGAAAAGTGCCCTAAAAGCCTAGTTCTTAATATTCTTGTTTGTTTTTTATTTTGTTTTCTAATAACTCTCCACTGCAGTACGACGCAGTCCTGGAGACCGTTGAACTGATTCCTGAGAACGAACCCAACCTTCTCCAGCTAGGACTAGGAGTAGAGGACGGGGTGGGTGTGGATGCAGGAGTTAAGATATCTATCTCTCCATATCTTATCTACCATCCTCTGTATATCAACGAGGTACAAACTGTAAAACTAAAAAAGTAATTCTTTTTAATAAACATGAAATTGGGAAACTAAAGTTTTTGATGAAATATTGAAACAAAAAATGTATTGTAGTTTGTTTTTAACATATTTTCCCATTATTTTAGTTTTAAAAGCTTAGATCATTTTGGCATTTGAAACCGAGATTTAATGTTTCATCAAAACTAAGAAAACTAGATTTAAGTTTTTGATTTTTAAAGTTAGTTTGATTTAAATTACAAACAGTATGAAGGACTGCTGGAGAGGTTAGATCCAACTCCTTCCTACCAACCTGACCTACGACGGGTTGGAGAGAATGAAGGATTGGATGAAGAGGAACGAGTTAAGGTTTCCCTGTATCCATATCTCGTCCGTCTTCCTCTGTATATACAAGAGGTGTGAGGAATTACAATCTTTTACTGAAAAAAAAAACAATCGCCAGACTAAACTTGGAAGAATTCCACATTCATTTTAAATTTTTATTAAAAATGTCTCAATTTTAAATCCTAAATTTTTATCATAAACATTTTAGCACTACAGCCAGTCTCATCTTTTGATTATTCTTGGATATATCTATACTTAGAACTCTCTGGTAGATAAACAGTCTGGAGTATTTACTCCCAGTCCTAGTCAAACCCTGGAGTACCTTGATATATCTATATTTAGAACTCTCTGGTAGATAAAGAGTCTGGAGTATTTACTCCCAGTCCTAGTCAAACCCTGGAGTACCTTGATATATCTATATTTAGAACTCTCTGGTAGATGAACAGTCTGGAGTATTTACTCCAAGACTAGTCCCACCCTGGAGTACCTTGATATATTTATATTTATATATCTCTGCTGAATGAACAGTCTGGAGTATTTACTCCCGGTCCTAGTCCACCACTGGAGTATGCTTGGATATATCTATATTTAGATCTCTTTGGTAGATGAACAGTTTGGAGTATTTACTCCCAGTCCTGGTTCAACCCTGGAGTACCTGTATATTTCTATATTTAGATCTCTTTGGTAGATGAAAAGTCTGGAGTATTTACTCCAAGTCCTAGTCCAACCCTGGAGTACCTGGATATATCTATATTTAGATCTCTTTGGGAGATGAACAGTCTGGAGTATTTACTCCCACTCTTAGTCCAACCCTGGAGTACCTGGATATATCTTTATTTAGATCTCTTTGGTAGATGAACAGTCCGGAGTATTTACTCCAAGTCCTAGTCCAACTCTGGAATACCTGGATATATCCTGGCAGAAAAGTATGCTAGAGGAATCTAGGATTGGAATCACTACAATACACCAAGTAAGGCAGACATATCTTAAATATATTATTCATACATATTTACTTTCACTTTATTTTGAAAAAACCACAGAGATTCAGACAACTATGGTTATGCATCCTATTTTAAGACAGGGGCGACAACAACACTGCCTTTGATTTACAGCTCATGAACTCACTTAACTTTTTATATACTGGATGTGAACGCTTAAAAATTGGAATTGTTTCTAACTTCAATTTAAAACTAGTAATTGGGAAACCTTGAGCGTGCATGTTTTGGTTCAAAGTGGAATAGAATCTGTTTCAACTTGGTATAATACGAGAATACAAAATATATAATTTCTCAATACTTTTTAGGCAGATTTTGATTTCGATGTGGAGAATGAGGAAGAGGCAAACGAAGATAACATTTTTGTGACAGGACTAGAACAAGAGTTAGTAACATTTTTTAACTTTGCTTTCTGGGTGCGTCGAGAACCCTTTTTATTTGTTGCAATTTAAACGACGATTAGTTGGCCGCCAAGGTGTCTCAGCTCTCGAAGTTTCTGAATGATTCCACGTGGCAGAGACACCCTAAAAGCGTTGTGTAAAAAACCAAACAAAAAATATTATGAAGTATAAACTATATACAAATAATCGATGATTATAGGTTTTAATATCTTAATGATTTTTTGGAATTAAACTGATTTTTTACGATCCGATCTGAATATTGCAACTTACTGAATATGTATGGACATTACGTTCTTCGGTTTATGAGTCGTTTTTTACAATTTTCTCCTTTTAGACGCAACCGATAGAAGTAAGATTAGTAGCAATCACCATACTATACCCCCTTCCATTTTTTTCGAACACTCCCTTTAACTAAAACAATTTTGTTCACAGGTTTTCTGTTGTAAATGGTGGGTTTCTAAATTCAACTTTATTAAATTCCCCTTGGATATCCCATCATGATCATAACCTGCAGGGATATCCCATCATGATCATAACCTGTAGGGATATCCCATCATGATCATAACTTGCAGGGATATCCCATCATGATCATAACCTGCAGGGATATCCCATCATGATCATAACCTGCATGGATATCCCATCATGATCAAAACCTGCAGGGATATCCCATCATAAACAGAACCTCCAGAGAATCCCATCAAGATCATAACCTGCAGGGATATCCCATTATAAACATAACCTGCAGGGATATCCCATCATAATCATAACCTGCCGGGATATCCCATCATGATCATAACCTCCAGGGATATCCCATCATGATCATAACCTGCAGGGATATCCCATCATAATCATAACCTGCAGGGATATCCCATTATGATCATAACCTCCAGGGATATCCCATCATGATCAAAACCTGTAAGGATAACTTGAATTGAGATTAACCGTTCAAAATTTCCGATCATCTGGTTTATTGTATTTGTTGTAAATAATTGTTTTTGTAAATATTTTTTTACAGAAAAGAATTAGAAAAATATCGTCCCGAAATTTCAGGTGTAAGTCAAATTTTATACTCCAGATTTTTCAGAAACTAAATATTTTTAATAATTTAAATTTCTAGTAAGGACGATCCCTTGAAATTCAATTATTGGAAGAAACGGCTCCGAGATGTGCGTGAAGAACTATCTAAAGCTGCGATGGATAAATTAAAGAAAAGATGTCCAACCTTATTCAGAATGGGTTGGTTTGAGGTAAAGCCTATAATCATGAAATACAGTGGGGCTCATAAAAATGTGGAATAAGAAGACGCTGCTAGGCTCAATTTTGTTTCATAGAGGTGAAACATGAAGCACAGCAATTGTACAGTGTTGGGTTTTAAGCTACCGTAGTAAAACTTTTTTTTCGTAACTCAAACACAAATAATAATGCTTGATGTCGTCTTCTTTTTCCATAGTTTTATGGAGCATATCCACAAATCCACAAATCCAGCCTCATTTCCTTTCCTTTTCAGTTTCATTTAAGTTTTTCTCCATGGGTAGTTTTGTCGTTAAGTTCTCCAAAACTAACAGGAAGACAAATCAAACATTTAATTCTTATTTTATATTTTGTGTACTTGAATCAGGAGAAAACCCCACGAGGATCAATTTCTGGAGAATCAGATCCAAAAGAAGAACAAAAAGTGGAAAATAAAAAGGAAGAAAAGAAGGATGACAAAGAAGAGAAGAAGGAGAGGGGAGATGAAGAAAGGAAGGAGAAGGGAGATGAAGAAAAGAAGGAGAGGACAGATGAAGAGAAGGAGGAGGAGAGGGGAGGTGAAGAGAAGGAGGAGGAGAGGGTAGATGAAGAGAAGGATGACAAAATAGAAAACGAAAAACCTAGAATAATTAGAAGAGAACGCCAATTGTCAAATAATACATTTATAGACATAGAATGATTAAAAAAATACAAACTCCATTTTTACAGTGAATAAATAATTGAGGGTACAGTGTTTATTGTATTGATTATGTCGTATTCCTGGTTACACACTAGTTGGTTAGTATCAAGTTAAAGCTAATAAAAATGGTTAGTTTACAAGGACAAGAAATAAACTAGATTCAGCGGCTCTTCAGTTGAATAATAATGTTGGTTTGAGGACTCGACTACATGTTCTGAAAAAAAGATATTTTAGCATATTTTATTATTTATAAAATAAAACCAGACATGTTCCCTATAGCCGGCCAAACGGCTGAACCGAATAGGCTGAAATTTTTTAAGCGAAACCAAGGGTAGCTGGAAGGTAACGCCGGGCACCGGGCACTTCAACTATTAATTATGAAATTATATATCTCAGATGTGAAATTTTTCTTTTAAATAAATACCACTTTTAAAAAGACTATCAACCTCACGATTGGTAACATTCAATCATTTGTACGTTAACATTTTTTTGAGATATCCTTGTTCTTCTATCTGAACATCAATAATTTTCAATTGCAGTATCTATTTCAATGAACATGTGGAGTTATGCAGCAAAGACAAGGAAGAAAATGTCATAATCAGTGATACTCAGGCAAATGTTAAAAAGGGTACTTTTGTAAATCGGTTATTTCACTTTTTAAATAGAGGGTTCCTTAAAATTACATCCAGACTCTCTTCAAGTTCAAATCTGATTTGTAAAAAGATTTGCTTACCAGGACAGAGTTGCCCCTCACTCTACGTAGTCCATCAATCTGTTCCTCTGCCAGCCTAGACCTCTCCTCCGCCTCTTCAAGCTCCTGCTGAGCTTTACGGAACTTGGCCAGGTTCAAGGCAGCTATTTCCTCTGCCTCTTCAATCTGCTTCTTGTAAGTTCTGATCTTATCCTGAAGTTTGGTGGCCAACTCTCCCATCTTCTCCTGGTTCTTCTGATCCTCATCATTTTGGAACTGCAGTTCTTTTATCTTACGCTCACTCTTTTGGTAGGATTTTAAAGTTTCAGAAGTTCTCATCTGACTGTTACCAAGTTCCATCTCAAGCTCTCTTATCCTGCCCTCAAGCTTAGCAATAGCATTCTTTCCACCCTTGGTGGCATGCTCAACAACCTCTTCGAGACGAAGTTCCAGTTCTTTAACCTGGGCATCAAGAGCTCTTCGTGCCTTCAATTGGCTTGAGCAATGATCTTGCTCAGATCTTAGCTCTTCAGCAAGACGAGAAGCATCAACCATGGCCTTCTTGGCCTTCTCTTCGCTGTTCTTTACAGACTGGAGAATACTGTCAATCTCTGCATGAAGAGTGTGCACAGCAGATTCAAGTTGACGCTTCTCATTGGCAGCTCTGCCGTTGATAGTGGTCATGTCATTGACTGCAACTCTGGCATCGTGAAGTTCAAGCTCAGCCTGCTTCTTACCTCTCTCAGCAGAGTCAAGCAGAGATCTTGACTCTTCAAGTTCTCCAAGCAAAGCATTGGCCTTGCGGTCAGCCAATCCGGCCTTGTCAACAATCTCTTGCCTCTGTCTAGATTCTTCCTCATAAGCAGTTTCTGCTTCCCTGTACTGGTTTTGGTATCTTTTGATTGTCTTGTGTGCTTCAGCATTTGACTTGTTGGCATGGTCCAGGGCAATCTCAAGTTCATTGATGTCAGCTTCTAGTTTCTTCTTGATTCTAAGTGCCTCAGCCTTTGCACGGGTTTCAGCCTCCATTGATGCTTGCATAGAGTCAAGTGCACGCTGATAATTCTTCCTATAAAAAAAAATAAAAATAAAACAAAATAAAATAATAATTATAAGAAATTAAATGATATATATAAATCACTTCACCTGGTATTTTCAAACTCTTCTTCCTTCTCCTGAATCCTACGATCAATCTCCTGCCTGACCTGAGAGAGCTCAAGCTGTGCTCTCATAACCTTATTCTCCTCCTGCTCCAGTGCTGCCTCTGCCTCTTCAAGAGCTGCCTGGAGCTCTTCTTTCTCAACCTCAAGCCTCCTTCTCTGTTTGTCAAGTTCATGGATGGATCTTCCTCCTTCTCCAAGCTGATCAAGTAGATCCTTGATTTCTTCAGCTAGGTTCTTGTTCTCTCTCTTTACAGCATCAAGTTGTTCAGTGATCTCCTCCCATCCAGCTCTCAAACGAAATACTTCAGAGTTATAGTTCCTACTCTCCCTCTGACTGGCCTCAAGCTCACTGGAAAGGTCATCAACCTTCATTTTCCATTCTCCAACAACCTTGTCAAAGTTTTGAGCTCTCTTGTCAGCCACTATAGCAGCAGCATTAACTCTTTCAAACTCTAGTTGAAGATCTTCCAGCTCAGTGTCCATCCTATGCTTAGACTTCTCAGTGCTTGCCACCTTAGTGTGAAGACTTTCAATAGTCTCTTCAGCTTCTTGAAGTCTCATCATCAATTTGGCCTTGTTGCCCTCGAGCTCATCTATTCTGCCTAGACCCTCAGTTTCATATTTAGATTTCCATAGTTGAATTTCAGACTGTGCCTTAGAGAGCTGTTTCAGGATCTCTCCCTTGTGCTCAGCTTCCTCTTCAATCCTGGCTCTTAGATTTTCCAATTCAGAGTTAAGATTTTTGAATTTGCTCATTAGTCCAGCTCTATCACGGGTCTCAGCATCTGCAAGCCTGCGAGTGTCTTCAAGTTGGGTTGTCAAAGATATCTTAGCTTTTCCCAACTCAGCAATATGAGCCTCGCTATCCTCAATCTGCCTTTGCAGATCTTGTCCCTCAACTGTCAACTTCTTCTTGCTGGAATCTGCCTCATTAAGTGCTCTGGCCATATCATCAAGACGCTGGTTGGATTCAGCAATCTTGGATTGGGTCAGCTTACCCTCCTTCTCAACATTCTGTCTCTCTCTAATGGCAGCATCCAAAGAAGTTTTTGCTTCATGAAGATCTCTCTCCATTCTTGCCTTATCTGCTTCAGCTTTAGCTTTAGCCTTATTCAAATCATCAATCTGAGAACCCATTTCAGAGATAACGCCATTATGTTTTGATCTAGTGTTAGCAAGTATTCCTTCAAATGAAATGTTAGACTCCTCCATATCAGCCTTCAGCTTCATAAGTTCAGCTTCTCTCTTCTTGTTGAGTTCTATTTGAGTCTGAGTGTTGTTTCCAGCATCCTCAAGCTTCTCTCCAAGGTCCTCAATATCTCTGGACAGGGTAGCTCTGTTCTTTTCAGCCTTGTTGCGGTTGTTTCTTTCAATTGCAAGTTCTTCATCTAGCTCTTCAATTCTTGTCTGCAATTCCTTGATTTGCTTTGAGTATTTGCCTCCAAGAGTTTGCTCATCCTCAATCTTAGCTGCTACAGAGGCAAACTCCTTTTCCTTCCTCTGAATAGTAGAGTTAAGCTCCTCCTTAAGTCTGTCAAGATCAGCTACAGTTTCTTGAGTAAGCTTCAGATCGGACTCAACCTTCTTCTTGATCTTTTCAGCATCAGCCCTAGCCTTCTTCTCCCTCTCAAGAGAGTCTTCTGATTCATCCAGACTTTGCTCAAGTTTTAGTTTAAGTTTGCTGAGATGATTACATTTGTCCTCTGCAGCCTGAATTCCCTCTTCAGTTTTCTGCCTGGATTCTCCAGCGGTCTTCTTCTCGCGAGTCAGCTTTTGGATAAGTTCCTCTTGATGGGCCAGTTCTTCCTTCAGAGTTCTAATTTGACTCTCCTTGGTGACAACATCCTCCTCTGACTTTTCAATATTAGTTTGAACATCTCTAATTTCATCCCTGAGCTTGTCAGTGTCCTTCTTTAATTTGGAGCCAGTCTGCTCAGCTGACCTGCGAGTATCCTCTTCCGAACGAATTCTGGTATTAAGCTGGTCAACTTGCTTTTCCAGATCATTCCTGGATTTCTCTAATTTTTCAATCTTTGCTGAGAGTTCTTTGACAACATCTCCACCAGATTCCAGTGATCTTTTAACATCTGCTTTTTCTTCATCTAGTTTAGCATGAGCAGATTTGACCTTGTTGCACTCAGCAATAGCTTTGTCAATGTTGGCTTCAGCAATGGCTATTTTCTCTTCATACTCAGCCTTGTACTGGGCAAACTTGGTACACTTGAGGTTGGGTTTGAGAGTAATCCATATCTGCCACCAAAGCCAGGTCTTACCAATCATGTAGTTACGGATTGTTCTCTGGCAGCAGTAGAGAGACAGCTTTTGTCCTTGCATCTTTACAAAATTCATTCTAGATTGTTTTCCTCTGCAGTAGGACTGAAGCCAAGAGAGAACCTGTCCAACCCTGTCTTCTCTTACCTCCTCCATGTGACCAAGGACTCCTGCCCTGAAGAAAACCTTAGTATGTCCAAGCCTGTACTTCTCCTTTTCCAGACCAACTGTTTCAAGCACAGCTGAGGCAGCAGCCTTGTCATTCTTAGCTTTGGCAACAAGACCGGCAGCTAGGATGTTATACCTGGATTTAAAGTCAGGATAGGACATTCTGTTAGGGAATCCCTTCCGGCAGATCCTAATTCCTTCAAGTACACCATTACAAGTAAGCTGGTGCATAATGAGAGCAGGCTCAATACCACCAGGCTGTTTGTGTGTATTAGGCACAACACAACGGATGAAATGAGGTTCAGTGGCATGAAGCGTTTTCATCAAATCCTCCAGCTGGGACTTGTAGAAGGAGGATACAGTTTTACCACCTCCCTTCTTCTTGCTTCCACCTTGATCCTTGGGAGTTTCAGCAGGTTGACCTGGATGATCTAGGAAGCACAGAACACATAAAGCATTGGTTCCATTCTTGATCATTTCAACAATGGTATCATTTAAAGGATCCTTGTTCTTCTCTAGCCAAGAGGTTAGGTTATAAGAAACCTTGGCAGCATAATGACAAACTGCAAAATGAGCCTCTGGATCTGGCTTAGGATCGGGCTTGGCAAAATTGGGGCATTTGCCCAACAGATTTGCGTGCAACTTTGCAGCAAAAGACTGGTCAGTTGCCTTGGGGAAAAGAGACTCTTCTTCCAGAATGGCAAGAAGACCCATGGGCTTCTCAAACATCTCAATACATTTTTGGAGATCCATGCCAAAGTCAACCATTGCCCATTCAATTCCCTCTTTCATATACTCCTCCTGTTCAAGGACGAACATGTGATGATTGAAAAATTGTTGAAGTTTCTCATTACAGAAGTTGATACAGATCTGTTCAAAGCCGTTGTAGTCAAATATCTCAAACCCAGCGATATCCAAGACTCCAATGAACTGAACCCTCTTCATGGTAGGATCACACAGAGTATCATTACATTTGTCAACAATGAACTTAAAGGTTCTCTCATACAGAGATCTGGCAATACCAGCAACAGAGCTGGAGGCCTGGGATACAGTCTGACCCTTGGTCACCCATTCAGCTCCTACCTTCAGCTTAGGTTTACAGAAGTAGTTGATCATCCATTCGTTATCAATACCAAGAAGAGTTGATACGTTCTTGGCATGTTTCTGATCTTCTTCCTTGATATCTGCTTGTTCCTCTTTACCAACACCGATAAAGGATTTAGCAAGCTCTCCCATGTGCATAAGACAAGCAGTGTTCTAAACATGCAGAATGTTTTAAGGCTCTGGATTAGAAACCTATTAAGTTGAAAGTTAAGGCTCGGTATTTTTAGCATTTATAGTTTTGCTTAAAGTCTGCACAGAGCAGGTGGGACTTATCTTGCCCTGACATTTACCCACAATTTTCCAGTACTCCGGGCGGGGAGGAGGGTGGGGTGTGGATATACAGGATATACAGGATATACAGGATATACAGGATATACAGGATATACAGGATATACAGGATATACAGGATATACAGGATATACAGGATAAACAGGATATACAGGATATACAGGATATATAGGATATACAGGATATACAGGATAAACAGGTTGATATACAGGATATACAGGGTGACTATCTTAAAATTATCCTTCCTTAAAGAAGTTATTTCAAGCGACATTAAAGAGGTGAATGTCCGATTCACAACGGTCCTCTTAAACGCTTTAAATGATCATTAAGATACCATCGTTTTAAACTCTCAGAACTTGTTCTTTTGTTAGAAAGGAAGAATTCCGCAAGCCACTTTTTGAGAGAAATCGCAATTTTGAATAATCAATTTGTAGAAAGAAGACATGGATGCTGACATAAAATTTTAAAGGATACCGGGTTGGGTAACGGACATGCCAATCCAAAAAAATAATGTCACTTGAAATTACAACGCCAGTCACTTTAAAGAACAAAGCATATTTGAAGCGTTGAAATTACCTTATAAACATCATACTTCTCCTCCTTAGTAAACCCTAGGATATCAAAAGCTTCATCTGCAAACTGCATATCCTCTTTATCATCAATACTGTCTACAGCAATCTTACCCTAGGTCAGAAAAAAGTGAACTAAAAAATTCTAAAAGTTTAAAAAATTATTTATTTATATAAAGAAGTAATCTCTGTTTGTTTGTTTGGATGTCCGATCATAACTCAGGAACCCAGAATCCCCTTGACAGATTTGCCACAAATTTTGATTTGGGAACTCGGGAGAACCACGGGAATGTTCTTAACTTGGGTTTTAGATTCAAAGTTGGGTGGGTCGACTTTTATGGGGAAAAATAACTAAAATCATGATTTAAGACCGGGTGCGGGTAAAAAGCAGGAGTAACTATGAGTAACCTGGGCAGCGACGGGTTCCAAAGAAGAAATTGTACCTGTGATACGTAGAAGTAATCTCTGACATTATTTGACAAAAGACATTTTGCCTTAAGGTCAGGAACAGCGTCGGACATGAGATTATAGAAGGAGTGGTAACATCTCTCCAGAGGTTGCTGGTAGGTCAACCTAGACTTCTCCAGTAGGTAGATAACCATATCAGCTCCTAGTTAGGATATCAGGGTTTAAAGATATACTTGATACACTTGGAAATATCAGGATTAAAGATATACTTCATACACTTGGAAATATCAGGGTTCAAAGATATACTTCATACACATGGAAATATCAGAGTTTAAAGATAAACGTGATACACATGGAAATACCAGGGTTTAAAGATTTACATTGTACACATGGAAATAGCAGGGTTTAAAAATATACTTTGTACACTTGAAAATATCAGGGTTTAAAGATATCTTCATACACATAGAAATATAAGGGTTTAAAGATATACTTGATACACTTGGAAATATCAGGGTTGAAAGATATACTTCATACACATGGAAATATCAGGGTTTAAAGATATACTTTGTACACTTGAAAATATCAGGGTTTAAAGATATACTTCATACACATGGAAATATCAGGAAGATATACTTCATACACATGGAAATATAAGGGTTTAAGGATATACTTTGTACAATTGAAAATATCAGGGTTTAAAGATATACTTCATACACATGAAAATATCACGGTTCAAAGATATACTTTGTACACTTGAAAATATCAGGGTTTAAAGATATAATTTTTACACATGGAAATATCAGGGTTTAAAGATATACTTCATACACATGGAAATATCAGGGTTTAAAGATATACTTTGTACACTTGAAAATATGAGGGTTTAAAGATATACTACATACACATGGAAATATCAGGGTTTTAAGATTTACTTCATACACTTGAAAATATCAGGGTTTAAAGATATACTTCTTAAAGGTTGAAAATATCTGAGTTTAAAGATATACTTTGTAAAGTTGGAAATATCAGGGTTTAAAGATATAATTCGTAAAGTTGGAAATATCAAGGTTTTAAGATATACTTTGTAAAGTTGGAAATATCAGAGTTAAATAAAATACTTTGTAAAGTTGGAAATATCAGGGTTTAAAGATATACTTTGTAAAGTTGGAAATATCAGAGTTAAATAAAATACTTTGTAAAGTTGGAAATATCAAGGTTTAAAGATATACTTTGTAAAGTTGGAAATATCAGAATTAAAAGAAATACTTTGTAAAGTTGGAAATATTAGTCTTTTCCACAAACCCTGACTTTCTAATCCTTATATCTATTCAACCCAATGTCGTTGACTTTAGATATTTCAAACTATGAATTCTGTAAGATAAAATAAATGCAATATATAGGGATTTAAAAATTTAAGTTTGTGACAAAGACTCAATTTTTTTTGAAAATATCACGGTTAAATAGTAAGCTTAGTAAAGTTTGAAAAAACTTGAAGGTTTACAATTCCTAAATTTAAAAATATCGCGTACACTTGCACATTTCGTAACATTCTTTTAAACATTTTTTAATAAATGTTGAGCAATAAAAACATGACAGGTCGTTTTTCTTTTAGATGATAAACTGTAAACAGTCAATTTATCGCTCAAGGGCTTGACAAATCTGTAATCTGTATTTTCCCCAAAACACAAAATTTAAAGTTTACAGGATGCATCTTGCAAGAGATAAAGAATATATGAAGAAAAACTTGCGGATTTTTCTAATCTTTCTAATCTAATAATCTATTTTCAAATCTCTCTAATCTAATAATCTATTTTCTAATCTCTCCAATCTAATAATCTATTTTACCGCTAATTTTATAAAATAAGCAAAAAATATGAAATACATTTAATTGATTTAAAGAAGAATTGTTTCGAGTCATAATAAAACCCGGATCAGTTTGGAGTCATAATAAAACCAGGACCAGTTTTTAGTCATAATAAAAACCAGGACCACTTTCAACTCACAATAAAAACCAGGACCAGTTTTTAGTCATAATAAAAACCAGGACCACTTTCAACTCATAATAAAAACCAGGACCCGTTTCGAGTCATAATAAAAACCAGGACCAGTTTCTAGTCATAATTAAAACCAGGACCACTTTCAACTCATAATAAAAACCAGGACCAGTTTCAACTCATAATAAAAACCAGGACCAGTTTCGAGTTATAATAAAAACTAGGACCAGTTTCGAGTCATAATAAAAACTAGGACCAGTTTCGAGTCATAATAAAAACTAGGACCAGTTTCGAGTCATAATAAAAACCAGGACCAGTTTCTAGTCATAATTAAAACCAGGACCACTTTCAACTCATAATAAAAACTAGGACCAGTTTCGAGTCATAATAAAAACTAGGACCAGTTTCGAGTCATAATAAAAACTAGGACCAGTTTCGAGTCATAATAAAAACCAGGACCAGTTTCGAGTCATAATGAAAACCAGGACCAGTTTTTAGTCATAATAAAAACCAGGACCAGTTTCAAGTCATAATAAAAACCAGGACCAGTTTCGAGTCATTATAAAAACAAGGACCAATTCCGAGTCAGAATAAAAACTAGGACCAGTTTCGAGTCATAATAAAAACTAGGACCAGTTTCGAGTCATAATAAAACCAGGACTAGTTTCAAGTCATAATAAAACCAGGACCAGTTTTGAGTCATAATAAAAACCAGGACCAGATTTAATAAACGCAAATACGTAGCTAAACTACATATGTAGACAAAGTTAACCCACTCTCATGCTTATTTCTGAACCAGCTATATGACTGACCTGGAGAAGAGATACTAGTTCTAACCAGCTCTATGATAGACCCGGAGAAGAGAGACTAGTTCTAACCAGCTCTATGATAGACCCAGAGAAGAGAGACTAGCTCTAACCAGCTACATGATAGACCCGGAACAGAGAGACTAGCTCTAACCAGCTATATATATAGACCCGGAGAAGAGAGACTAGTTCTAACAAGCTGTATGTATAGACCCGGAGAAGAGAGACTAGTTCTAACAAGCTATATGATAGACCTGGAGAAGAGAGACTAGTTCTAACCAGCTCTGTAATAGAACTGGAGAAGAGAGACTAGTTCTAGTTCTAACCAGCTCTATGATATACCTTAAGAAGAGAGACTAGTTCTTACCTGCTAGTTTTCCGGACTGGTTGAAGTGAATCCTGATAAACTTGCCGAACCTGGAACTGTTGTCATTTCTCACAGTCTTAGCATTACCCCAGGCTTCAAGCACAGGGTTGGTCTAAATAAAAATATGTTTTAATATTTCATGGGGGGATATGTAATATAAACCTAAAGTTATTTTATCAGGATATCATTTCCACATGGGGGTAAGTTGAAATAGGAAAATTTAAAAAGGGTATTTACCAAGACCTAAAATTAAACTATGGAAATTTATCCTCCTAGTTTTCTTTATAAATTGGAGTAACTTATGTAGGATAGATTATTTACAGAAAATTTATATTTAGAAAAATGCCATTTTAAAGCTGAGTTGGGAACTTTTAAACGAAAGTAGTTAAACTAGATCTGGTCTGTTCAACTACTCATCTAGATAAAATTGAACTAGGTTTGGTCAGTTTAACTACTCATCTAGATAAAATTGAACTAGGTCTGTCGGTACAACTACTCATCTAGATAAAATTGAACTAGGTCTGGTCGGTTCAACTACTCATCTAGATAAAATTGAACTAGGTCTGGTCGGTTCAACTACTCATCTACATAAAATTGAACTAGGTCTGGTCGGTTCAACTGCTCATCTAGATAAAATTGAACAAAGTCTGGTCTATTCAACTTCTCATCTAAATAAAATTTAACTAGGTCTGGTCGGTTCAACTGCTCATCTAGATAAAATTGAACTAGGTCTGGTCGGTTCAACTGCTCATCTAGATAAAATTGAACTAGGTTTGGTCGGTTCAACTGCTCATCTAGATAAAATTGAACTAGGTCTGGTCGGTTCAACTACTCATCCAGATAAAATTGAACTAGGTCTGGTCGGTTCAACTACTCCTCCAGATAAAATTGATCCCCATCTTTCAAGATAAACTCTAGTGAAGAATAGTTAAACCACTCGTACTAAGTTCGACCACTTCTTTTTATTTATTATTCTTATCTTACTAAATTCCCATTTTTTATTTAACTTAGTTTTTTTTAATCCAACCTGGACGATTTTATCTTCTAGACCAGGTTCTCCTTCCTTCTTCTTTCCAGTTGCACCAATAGAAGCAAAATACGAGATAACCTTCTTTGTATTCTCTGTCTTACCAGCACCAGACTCTCCGCTAAATAAAGGGACTGTTTGCAATTTTATTTAGGGAAATTAAAGGAACACTTTGTACTCAAAAACTTATTTTTTAAAGAGTAGGTACTTAAAAACTTAAGTTTATTAAAGGAAAGATATTTTAAAACTTTTGTTCATGAAGGGAAAGATAGGTTTATTAAGGGAAAGATACTTTAAGATTTAGGTTCATTAAGGGAAAGATACTCAAAATTTAGGTTTAGAAAGGGAAATATACTCTAAAACTTACGTTCATTAAGGGAAAGATACTCAAAACTTATGTTCATTGAGGGAAAGAAAGGTTTATTAAGGAAAAGATACTTAAAACCTTAGGTTCATAAAGGGAAAGATACTCAAAACTTAGGTTCATTAAGGGAAAGATACTCAAAACTTAGGTTCATTAAGGGAAAGATACTCTAAAACCTAGGTTCATTAAGGGAAACATACTCTAAAAATTACTCAAAATCTTCGATTTATAAAGGAAAAGTACTCAAACCCATAAATTCAAATTGAATGAAAATACTCACGTGATAAGTATAGACTGGTTTTTGCCACCGACCATCATACCCTGGAAAGCTCCTTCAGCGATAGCGAATATATGAGGAGGAACTTCATTCCTTCGTTTACCCATATACACCTCCATAGCTCGCTGAGTGTAGATGGGGAACCTCTTAAATTAAAACTTTATGAAAAAAATGTACTAAAAAAAATTGTAACTATATACAGGGAGACCCATAAAACACAACAATAACTGCAATACAAAGTTCTGAACTTGGGAAAAGGAATTGAGTCTTTGCTGCAAACTCAAATTTTGAATTCTGTTGACTCAAATTTTGAATTCTGTTAACTCAAAGTTTGAATTCTGTTGACTCAAATTTTGAATTCTGTTGACTCAAATTTTGAATTCTGTTAACTCAAATTTTGAATTCTGTTAACTCAAATTTTGAATTCTGTTAGATCACATATTCTAAGTTTGATATATCAGGCTGTAAAAATATTATTTGAAAATTTGACTTTGTGGCAAAGACTCAATTCCTTTCTTATTTTCTGAATAAAAAGTGAATCATCTTACCTTGTATGGGTTGACCGCAATACAGAAGAGTCCGGAGTAAGTATAGATCAGCTCGTTCACATATCTGATCCTCAGATTCCATAAAACAGACGCATCGTTCAAGTAGGTCAGATTGGACATATCCTCACAGCAATCGAACTTGGGAGGGTTAACCTGTCCCACCAGATCCTTCTTAAACACCTTCTTCTCCCCCTTCACGCTCACGGTGATCTTGTCCCCCTCGGTGCTCTCGATCATACCCTCGGCGAACCCTCCGGTTGCCTTCTCAGGGACCCAACAGGACTTCTTAGGGTCATAAGGCTTGGCCTGAACAGGTTTTTGGTTTAAGAAAAAGCATTATCGTTTCGGAAACATTGTTTTTTTTGTCTCTATCATACCTTATAATGGGGAAGGTCTGTCAAAATGTGTGCAGGGCTTTGGTTTTTAAAAACTATTTTCGTCTTGGAAATCAAGCAATCCAAATTCCAAGTTCGAAAAAAAACTCATTAACTCCTTGGCGATTTTCCTCAAATTTTGATTGAGAAACTGGGTGGAACCACGGAGAATGTTCATAGTTTGGTTTAAAAATTCTAAGTTGAGTGGGAGGACGTTTATAGGGAAAGTTTAGTTTCCGGGCAAACCTGGGTTCCCAAGCTAGTAGCTATATGTATAAACCTGGGTTCCCAAGCTAGTAGCTATATGTATAAACCTGGGTTCCCAAGCAAGTAGCTATATGTATAAACCTGGGTTCCCAAGCTAGTAGCTATATGTATAAACCTGGGTTCCCAAGCTAGTAGCTATATGTATGAACCTGGGTTCCCAAGCTAGTAGCTATATGTATAAACCTGGGTTGCCATGCCAGTAGCTTTATGTATAAACCTGGGTTCCCAAGCTAGTATGTTTATGTATAAACCTGGGTTCCCAAGCTAGTAGCTATATGTATAAACCTGGGTTCCCAAGTTAGTAGCTATATGTATAAACCTGGGTTCCCAAGCTAGTAGCTATATGTATAAACCTGGGTTCCCAAGCTAGTAGCTATATGTATGAACCTGGGTTCCCAAGCTAGTAGCTATATGTATAAACCTGGGTTGCCATGCCAGTAGCTTTATGTATAAACCTGGGTTCCCAAGCTAGTATGTTTATGTATAAACCTGGGTTCCCAAGCTAGTAGCTATATGTATAAACCTGGGTTCCCAAGCTAGTAGCTATATGTATAAAGTAGTTTGGATGTTTTTAATTAATTCGGTAAATCCAGGAAAAAGTTCATGGTTAACATTCTTTAAGCTAAGTAAGATAACTTTTATAGGGAAAGTTTAAAATCAGGCAAAGCATGGTTCCCAAGCTAGTAAAGGGTGTCCCATGAAACATTACAGTTGGTGAATAGTTTTAAATGTCTTCTTCCATAATTTGCTAAGTTCTTTGATACCAAAGAGAAAAAAAAAATATCACATGGATGGCAGTCATAGTAAATAACATTGATATCAAAGTAAAAGATTTTTAAAAGAAATGAACTGCAAAAAGTCTGTAATACCTAAAATAGTATAGGGAAGAAGACAATCGAAATTATTTACCATCTGTCATGTTTCGTGGAACACCCTGTATATAAATAATTATACCTTGTTCTTCTCCTTGAGTTCGTATGAGACGAACAACCATTGTGACGGATCTGGATCCGGTCCTGAACCTTTCTTTATATGGCCGGGCATCCTGGAAATAATTTTTTAGTTTAGAAAACAGCAGAGGAGACACAGTGATCACCAAAAAAATGCTCTTTTTTACAATTATGAATGGCGGATCAGAATTTTCCGAGATATAGCGTATATTAAGAAATTACGAAATCCGTCCAAATACTTTAAATAAAAATATGGAGCAGCACAGACAACAATATCTCCCCTCACGTTAAATTAGAAGTCCTTGTTAAAGTCTAGTGAGTCGTAACTTTAGATTTTTCGTGTTTGTTATCTTATACTTTTTGGTTGGGCTTGTATTTTAAATAGTATGTATTTAAAGGCTTCCACGATACTTTTGACGAATTTATGAAAAGAGATTAAAATATGGCTGAGAATTTTCCAAACCAGACAGAATATGTTTTTCGTTGTAAATAGTTTTTCGTGCGCTGTTCACTGAAGAAAATTCAAATAAGGTTTGATTTAAGTGAAAAAATACAATTCAAACTGATAGGCTATCAGCACAATTAGTTTTCAGAAAAGTAATGATAATTTCATGATATTGATAAGTAAATAATAAAACCAAGATAACGATTAGGTTTGTACCTGGAGATAATATTAGATTAGTACCATGAGTAAAATTAGGTAAGTACCTGGAGCAGAACAAGATTAGTACTTAAAGTAAGATTAGGTCAGTACCTGGAGTAAGATTAGGAGTAACACAATGTAAGTACCTGAAGTAAGATAAGGTTAGTATCTGGAGTAAAATTTGGTTAGTACCTGAAGTAGTATTAGGTTAGTACTCGGAGTAAAATTAGGAGTAAGACAAGGTAAGTACCTGAAGTAAAATTAGGTTAGTACCAGGAGTAAGATTAGGTTAGTACCTGGAGTAAGATTAGGTTAGTACCTGGAGTAAGATAATGTTAGTACCTGGAGTAGGATTAGGGTTAATACCTAGAATAAGATTGGGTTAGTGCCAGGAGTAAGATTATGTGAATACCTGGAGTAAGATTAGGTTAGAGCCCAAACGTCCCACTGAACACAATACTCCAGGGTCCAGTCTTTATACCTGACAGGTCACGTGACAAGGTGCCCTTTCCTGAGCTAGCGGCCAGCTTATATATATACTTGAGGGAACCTTTAACTTTACATACTCGGTATTCATGCAGACAATACAGCTAGCAAGGCATTTAGGGGAGTAAATGGAAGAGGAGGAGGGATGGGGATGAAAGGGGACGGTAAGGAGGGATTCAAAGATAAGGTTGGAAAGATATGAACCCAGCTTTCCACAATTATGCATTCTAGTTCACATGAATGCATATGACGAGAATGACATAGAATTTAGGGGAACATTTTCATATAACTGATTATTTGCGACAAACTCTAACATTCCAACCTTCATATTTTTGCAACCTCATGATGTAAACCTTTAATACTTCAAACTTCAACTATCTGATCCATTAGTTTTAGTTTTAATGAAACGTTTAAATACTTAGAGTTTGAGGAGAGTAATCAGTTTCTCTGTTTTTACAGACATTGTTTATGCTAATAAGGGAGCTATTTTAGAAAAAAGGGATCAAAAGGTAAATCTAATGTAAGACGGATCTCCCTGTAGTAGTATAAGTAGTATAAGGTAGGTTTAGAAAAAGTATATACACCTACAGGGTTACACCCACAAAGGATGAGATTTCATAGACGATTGTACGAAACTTGCTAATTCCATTTTCTTGCATTCAGTGTTCCTTGTAGGTCAAAGCTGGCTTGTTTTTCTGTGATTAACCATTTAGTTAACCATAAAAATACTCAATTCAATGCAAAAATCAAAAATAAAGCTTCAAATCGTCATATTTTTAGAGTTATGGGTCGTCTTTACAGTCTCATCCTGTGTGGGTAACCCTGTATAATTGTCTCATCCGTTTAACTTAAAGAAAATCATAACAGCTGTGTATTGGCAAATCTTGAAGCAAACATATATTTTAAAGGGACTGTTATTTAAATGTAGAAACGATTTCTCAAACTATTTAATAATTCCAATGTGACGAATTTTTACACGACAATTCAGAGATGAAATATAAGTACATTAAGATCTCTGTCCTCGATGATTAGGTAAACGTAGTGAGCGGGGGATGTCCGGATTTTCGGATTTTCCGAAAATAATATTCACGGAAAGTTTAAATTTCTGACGACATTCATAAACGTATTTTTGTCCATTTTGTCTATTTTGTCTATTTTGTCCAAATTTTGTTCATTTCTTTATATATTTTGTTAAGGAAAATGTAAATAGATTTTCGGAATATATTTTTGACGAAAAGTTTCATGTTTACTGTATGCCCCCCCTGTTAAGTTCTGAGTGTTGATCATGTGTTGATTTATAAACCCTAGAAAACAATATTTTCACTTATGCAGGGTTTCCAAATCAACATGGGAGTTAACTGGCGACTTTTACATCGTCTTCGATCCATGAACACAGTTATTGCAGTATTCCAGTTTAAACATCTAATATCGTAAACGACGGGTCTTCAGATTTTCACAATGAGGTCTACCATTTTTGTATCTTCAAAATTGACGGAGATATTGCAAAATTTGTACAAATTTCAATTTATCTAGTATATTAAAAATGACTTGATATCTTGGTGTTTATTTACCACTGGAGGGATCTAGATATCCTCTCTTGGGGTTTATTTACCACTGGAGGGATTCAGATATCCTCTCTTAGTGTTTATTTACCACTGGAGGGATTCAGATATCCTCTCTTGGGGTTTATTTACCACTGGAGGGATTCAGATATCCTCTCTTAGTGTTTATTTACCACTGGAGGGATTCCGATATCCTCTCTTGGTGTTTATTTACCACTGGAGAGATTCAAATATCCTCTCTTGGTGTTTATTTACCACTGGAGGGATTCAAATATCCTCTCTTGGTGTTTATTTACCACTGGAGGGATTTAGATATCCTCTCTTGGTGTTTATTTACCACTGGAGGGATTCAGATATCCTCTCTTGATGTTTATTTACCACTGAAGGGATCCATATATCCTCTCTTGGTGTTTATTTACCACTGGAGGAATTCAGATATCCTTTCTTGGTGTTTATTTACCACTACACTGAAGGGATCCTGATATCCTCTCTTGGTGTTTAGTCTCATACTGTGTGGGTACCCCAATATCTTACAAGAGAACCAGTTTATAACTCCACCCCGGAGGGACTTTAATTCCTTCATAATTTCACTTAAGGGTGTTCATATTCCTACTGGTGGAATTTTAATTCCTGTATGGGTGTTCATGTTCTCACCGGAGGAATTTTGATTCCTGTATGGGTGTTCATGTTCTCACCGGAGGAATTTTAATTCCTGTATGGGTGTTCATGTTCTCCATGTTCCCACCGGAGGAATTTTAAATTCCTTCTTGAGGGTCCATAATCCCCAAGGAGGGGTTTAGCTATCTGCAATTTATATTTAGTTAATATAAATTGTTTGAAATTATAAATTTTAAAGGGTTAAACTTGGAGAAGGTTGATAAGAGAGGTGTTTATTATAGATATAAGTCAGGTTCACAGGGATATAAAACTTTGCTTATTGCAGTACACAGGGATATAAAATTTATTAATATCTTGGTATTCCTTCATCAACATTTGGCAGGACTTTAACAGGATTTTAAAACTAGTTAAAGAGCACGGAACTCATGGAACTGTTTAGAATATAATTTACGATACTTTCCCGCGTTCTTAAAAACAGATTCATGTATTATTTTACCGTAGATTATTTCAACTTAATCTAAAACTTACCTTTCAGATATTAAAAGTTATTAATGTCGAATTCAATTTGATGCATTCCCATGTAGTTTAAATATCATAATCTTTTATTTAAATTTTATATACGATTTGGAGACGATTTTTCATCTCATCCTCTATAGTTCTTGGCAACTACGCGTGACTATGTGTCTATCTTAACACTGTTTATCTTATCACCCCCCCCCCATAATCTTTTCNTTTGGATTAATTTTTGTCTCCCAAAAAAACGTTTCTACGGTGTAAAGTTACAGAGTAAGAGCACAAACTCATTTTCAAGTATCGTGAAATTTTGTTTACAAGGGTTGGGGTAAATATGTGGGTGTTCCATGTTATTAGACGATTTAAAATTCAAACTCAACTTTAATAGTCAACTTTCTTTTCCACAGATTTATGGGTCATTTTTTATATTCCTTGCAACTATTTCAAAAAACTTCTACTGCAAAAAAACACCAAATATTGTAGAACTCCGTGGATTTGTATGGGTCCTGCGCTCTTCAACATCTTCTTATAGACGCAACAGGATAGAGGTAATATTATTAGCCATCTGTATCGAATTCAATTCGATACCAGCCTATACGGTAAACCTCATTTCATTTTTCGCGAACACTTCCTTTACAGCATATTAATACCGGCAGGGGCGCATTCAGGAATTTGTCTAGGGGGACTAAAACTTTTTTTCTTTACGCTCAGCTCCCGTTGGGGCCTAAAAAAACCCTGAAATCCATAGATCTCACTGTTCATGAGGGGGACTGAGCCCACATAGCCCCCACCCTGTATACTGTGAGTTTAATACTCCGTAGAGAGATGAATTTATTTCCCCCCTAGAGAGAAATGTTTTAACAGTTAAGATTAAACATTTAGTTTTCAGAGAGGTTAAAGTAAGATATAAAAACTCATTTACTTTTCTATTTTTAAAAATTATACCTTACTTCATTATTTGTATTTTAAGTTCTTGTACCAGCACGCCTTTAAACGCCTCAACATGGAAACGCCTCGACACGGAAACGGATCAAAAATTAGCGGAAACCCCTCAAAAGTAGGTTTTTTTTAAGGGGGTTTCCGCGATTTCTTCAAATTTTTCGGAAATCCCTCTAAATTCCAATTTTGAGGAGTTTCCTCTTTTTTTGATCGATTTCCCAGAATTGTATATCCATTTCCGCTTTATTTTATTCAAATATTTTCGAGGGATTTCCCAATATTTTCGAGGGATTTCCCAATATTTTTTGTGCGTTTCCTCATTTTTTTGGTCCGTTTCCTTTAAATTGATATGTTTCCTCATATTATTCCGCTATTCCTTACTGTCTCTTTCAAAGAGAATAGAATATATATTAGAGGGGAATTTAGAGAATCTCTAGGTATGATTTTTTTTCAGTCCCTTTTATCCTGAAAGGGAGTTCAAAGTGTACAAATCATGTAAATGTTCACAAATTATATGCAGTAGAGTACATTAATACAGTATGTTCCCTAGACTATTAGCCCGCTTTCTAACTTTACTGTACTAACCCTCTCTAGTTCTTGTACCAGACCGCCTTCTATCTTTACCGTGCTATCCAACGAGGTTATGGTATATAGAGTGATGATGTACGCTAATCCTTTACTAATGTAAAGACCATGAACTATACCGAGAGCGTACTGCATATTTGTTTATTATAAGGAGATTCTAGCCTAACCAATAGTATGTTATTATTAGTAAACAGTTGTAAGTGTACAGTACTGCTAACCGAGCACACAGGTACAGGGTGTCCCACGAGACATGACAATTGGTCAATAGTTTTGAATGTCTTTTTCAATATTCTGTATTAGATAATAAAGACTTTATGTAGTTCATTTTGTTAAAAAAATCTTTTATACAAACATAATTTTACGTTGAAATTAATTTTACTTTGAGATAACTCCCATACAATATTATTTATTATTCTCTTTCGTATCAAACAACTTAACATATTATGAAAGAAGACATTTTAAACCATTCACCAACTGTCATGTTTCGTGGGACACCCTGTAGGAAACTATCATCCCACCTGGTATTCTCCCTTACTGGTTCTCTTGTACCCACCCGCCTTCTAACTTTACTGTACTATCCCTCACAAGTTCTTGTACCCACTCGCCTTCTAACTTTACCGTACTACTATCCCTCACAAGTTCTTGTACCAGCCCGCCTAATTTAATTTCATTAATTCCTTCCTCCTTTAAAATCTTGATCCCTTCTTCCTTTCTCATTTCATAGCTCCTTTTCTATTAAAGCCTATTCCGCTATTCCTTACTGTCTCTTTCAAAGAGAAAAGAATATACATTAGAGGGGAATTTAG